TACCAAATCTACTACGGCACTGCTGCCAGCGCGGCCAACTATGGTGGTTACGGTGGCAACTCCGACAAGAAAGCCTCCGCCGAATATGTCTATGACGTGCCAGATGGATGGAAAGAGCGTTTGGTCTCAAAAGTCGAAAAGGGTACGTACATATAAGCTCACTACATCTGCAACATATGTGTCACATGCTAATTACGTTGTGGTGCTTAATATAGACATATTTGTATTGTCAAACTAGTGAATCCGAACTCAATATTTAGTGTATATTTCTCGATGAACAGGTACAAATGGGACTGATAGCGAATTTTACAACCCGAAGAAGAAGTCAGAAAAAGAGTACTTGACATTCCTTTCTGGGTTTAGGCAACTAGCACCGAAGGATGCGGTGCTGAACAATTTGGCTCTGTCAGATGTGAACTTGCAGGACTTGCTAGCAAGCGCGGATAATGTGACATCGGAGGAGAGGAAGGACGAGAATGGACAGGTTTACTATGTGTATGAGATCGATGGAGTTGCTGCTCACAGTTTGATTTCAGTAACTTGTGCTCAGAACAAGCTGTATGCACATTTTGTCAATGCGCCAACGACAGAGTGGAACCGTGACCATGACTTGTTGCAGCATGTTCATGAGTCTTTCAAGACTATTGGATCTTTTTAGCTTATTGCATTTGATGACTTTTGACAATGTGGTTCTGCTCATTTGAGAAATATATACAGATTTCGACTACAAAATAAAACGACTTTCGATAATTCCTTTCCATGCAGGCCTTCCCATCTGCTTATTCTTTCAATTTAATTTCCTATAAGCACTTCAAAAATAGGAATTTATAGCTTCTTCTGCGCATTAAGAAGTTCCGTGCTATTATGAAATGAGTTGTGATTCCTGCCAAATGTGACTTGGAATACAAGTTTTCTCTTAAAAAATTGTTACTGTCCTGCACAAGTAGAAACCAGAACAAGTCAAATTGTACTGATTACTGGGATGTAAAGTGCTTTTTCTGAACTGTCCGAATTGAATCAAGAAAAATATGAGTTACTGAGACTGAATATATAATTGAGTCTAAAGAACCGCATTTTTATACGAAACAAACCAATATAGCTAAAATTCAGCTGGAAACGGCTTCTAATACCCATAGACTGATGAGCAAAAGGAGGAATCCACCCAACGAAGGGCTTGCGTCTGTCTAGCTAGTGGTGAGCTACTAGCTTACCAAGGCGATGATCATGTAGCTAGTCCAAGAAAATGATCAGCCACACTGAGACTGAGACACAGGCCATACTCCTACGGGAGGCTGTAGTGGGGAATTTTTGCAATGGGCGAAAAGCCTTGACGGAGCAACGCCGCACATCAACTTTCACCCATCAAAGCAAAGTTAAATATTCAGGAAAAAATTAAAAACAAAGATTGTTATAGATTTATAAACTATTTAACAAACTTTATATTAACAAGTGATACATTTAATTATTTAAAGCAAATTCAACAGTGGCTAATACAGAGTGAAGCCATCATCATAGGAAATATGCCATCCCTTTTGACAAGGTGTGGCATTTTCATCGTACTCTTGACAGCAGCTCCATCTCTTCTTCCAATTCCCACTTCCAGTGTTTGGTCTCTTGTTCTTCTCATTCCATTTGTACACAATTACTCCAGACTTGTCACTCCACTCTCCATCAATCCCTTGGTGTGGTGGAGCTAGAGCAAATAATCCTTTCTCCCCTACAAAACCATATCCAATTATCAACATAGCAATGTTATGCTCACCATTCGCTAGATTTTGTATGCCGAGTGACGTGATATTTTTACTGCCTATCGTTTATTCAAATCTAGAGATTTAAGCACGCTCCGAAACTAAGAAAATAACTTTTGGTCAAATCTTGTTCTATTTTTCTCTATCTCCCTTAATGATTCAATCCCATTAGAAAAGTTAACCAAAATATTGTGTAATATCCATGTTAGCCAGAACTAGAGACGATAATGTTTATGTAATTTGATTTTAAATTTAACCGAATTCTAGCTCATGTTGCTGGAGATGCTAGGAAAGTGATTTATGACACTTATTTTCTCCTTTTGCACACCGTCTTAGTTTTAGCGCTTAATTCTCCTTTGAATTGTATAATCTAATCCAATTGCAAGAAGAAAAAGAAATAGTATATGCAGAATGCGAAAAAAATACGCGGAAATCATTTTCCTAAATTGGTTAGGTCCTCGTATTATCGATATCCACTGTCAATCAATCAAACGGAAACACGCTTTTAGTAAAAGCCCACAAGATCCCAATTAACATGTAGATGAGAAACTGAAAGAGGAAATTAACATGTGGATGATTGTGATATGAAGATTATAATTACCAGTGGTGTGGCCGTGGAAGGAGCAAGCAGTCGGGGAATTGTCGTGGTCTGAGTAAAGGGTGCTGCATCTCAAGCACCGCTTCTTCTTCGTCTGGATTTGGGATGAGCTTGTTTTGCTATCTCTACTACTTGAGCAATTCTTGACCGTCAAACCATTTGACTGCCTGCATAAGAAGATTTGAGTAATGCCCGAAGCTAGAGCCATGAAAATACTCAGTCTATTGTGTCTTGTGTGTATTAGACAGAGAGGAGGAGAGAATATGATATCTGGAAAACGGAAACTAAGGCGGGCGGGGGGGGAAGTTGACTGAAGAAGGATACTTTAGAGCATAGGTAACAGTTTTTTTAGATGTAACTCTTTAAAAACAAGTTTGTCGACGCATATGAGAGTTTGAAAATTAAAATTTGTTAAGACTCACAACTTTGCCAGTCCACAGATTTTATTATTATTTTTTACTCCATTAAGTGGCCTTTTTTAGTATTTAGTTTTTGGGAAAAAGTTAACAAAGACACGTTGTTATAAGGATATAATGCTAGAAATACTAAATTTGTAAACTAAATTTTGTAAACTTGTGACATGGAAATTGACAGTTAGATTATTACTTAAATGTTGATTAACATGCTTATTTTTTGGATAAAGTACAAAAAACTACCTCAACTATTGGTGTCACGACACTTTCATACCTTATCTTACAAATTTGTGTCAATGTTATACCTTCTATTAGCTAAGCGTGAATTTCTTAGTTAAATGCTGATGTGACTTGATTCGGGACCATTTTTTATTAAAAAATTATTAAAAACTAAAAATAATCATTTAATATTTTTTTAATATTAAAATAATAAAAAAAGTTATTAAAAAAAAAAAAACCAACATCAGTTCGTCCCCTCCCCCCCTTCTCTCTCTTCTCCCCATCTTCATCTTCTTCCCCCTTTCTGCAATTGCAACCCAGAAAAATAAATAAATAAATAAAAACCAATTTGTTCCCCCCCCTCCCCACCCCCTCTTCTCCCCGCACCCACTCTCCACACCCAACCTCCCCACCTTTGCACCCACTACCTACAACCAAAAAAAAAAAAAAAAAAAAAAACCCAGAAAAAAAACCCAGATCCCGTTGAGGTGGAATCGGGAAACTTTCGCCAGGTCGATTTCGAAGGTTGAGAACCTGGGCGCGGAGAAAATGAGGGGGAATGGGTGTGGAGGGAAGAGGGTGGATGCGGGGGGGGGGGGGGACGGACGAACTGATTTCTTCTTCTTCTTCTTCTTCTCTTCTGCAGGTTGGGTTGGGGGGGGGGGGAGGACGAACTAGGTTTCCCATTTTATTTTATTTTTTTCCTTCTTCTCCTCTTCTTCTTCTTCTTCTTCTTCTTCCTCCTCCTCCTTCGGGTTGGGTTGGGGTTTTTTTTTTTTTTTTTTCTTCTTCTTCTTCTTCTTCTTCTTCTTCCTCCTCCTTCTTTCTGGGTTGCAGGGGTTGGGTTTGTGGTGGGGGGAGGGGGTCGAATTGGGTTTGGTTTGGGTTTTTTTTTCTTTCTCTTCTTCTTCTTCTTTCTGGGTTGTAGGAAGATGGGGAAGAGAGAGAGGGGGGAGGGACGAAGGAGAGGTTTTTTTTAATATTTTTTGTGTACTTTTTTTTAAATTATTTTAATAGTTAAATAATATTAAATATTTTTTTTTGTTTTTAATAATATTTTAATAATTTTGTAATAAAAATGGGTCCCGGATCAAGCCACGTCAGCATTTAACTGAAAAATAAACGGCCAAGCTAACGGAAGGTATAACATTGACACAAATTCTAAAGATGAGGTATGACATTGTCAATTTTAAAAGATAAGGTATGAAAGTGTCATGACACCAATAGTTGAGGTAGTTTTTTGTACTTTACCCTTATTTTTTTTTTATTGGTGACACATCATTTAGTTTGGAAATTTAGTCTACAAATTTAATTTACCTACATTACTTTTACTACAACAAATTGAAAAGTGGGATAGAGAGCCTAAATCTAGACAATGTTGAACATTTTCTAAATTTGGAGACTCATTTGACAACTTTTTTGGAGTACAAAAATGCTACGTGACACTTCAAATTTAATTTTGTGGACTCTCTTGGAGATGCTCTAAAAGTTATCTCATTTTCATAGGTTTTTTATTATGTTTACTACATAAAAGTTAAAACATAGTGCTAACTTCATGTTACACCCTCTAGGCTTGAAGTTATCTCTAGAATAAATTTGGAAAATTCAATTTTCTCATATTGCACATTAAGGTATTAAAATTGAATCAGTATTGTTTTTTTGGTTTGATTGATTTTATGACAAAAGGTGTAAATTTGTTTTTTTTTTTTTTTCAAGTTTCCAACCAATTGTATTATTATACTTGGTGTACGGAGTCGTATTCTCAGCACACTACCGAGTCATGTTCCCAATCCCAACCCATTGAAAAATCTCTCTACACTAAGACCCAAAACTGAAAATTGATGTGGGAAAAAGGTGCCTCTTCAAAAAAATTCATCAATTTATATTATCTCAACCATGTATACTATCTTAATTGTATTGTTTACAGTTGAAGTTCATAGGTTGAAATATATGAAATAAAAGTATACATAAGAAAGGCAAATCCAAGGTACCATATGTCCATTCATGAGGATGAGTAACAAATATCCATTTGGAGATGGTACATATGAGCTCAAGGTAGAGATAAGGCACACACACATCAATCTTAACCTTGCAATGTACACCATCTTGTAGCCTCAGCTTCATGTTCGATTTCGGGTGCGGGTTCATCTTCTTCTTCGAAACACTTAATATCGAACGATCCATGGCCACGACCAAAGGCCTTGATGTGGTCTTTGAGAGACCTCTTGTGCTTAAAATCAGAGCCACAAATGCAGTACCAAATCTTGCCACAATTTTTCTCATGGGTTCTCCAATCACCTTTCACAGCAAATGCCTTGCCACAGCGTTTGCACATGAAGGACCGGACACCGTGCTTTCTCTTGTAATGTACCTGAAGAGTTCTGAAGTCTTTGAGTGGCTTTGCACCTCTAGGGTTTTCAATGTTGTGCTTGCAACCTGGTTCACAGCAGTAGCAAGGGAGTCTTAACATGGCTGTGGGTTGAGTTCTCTTTAGGGAGTCTGGTCCTTTCCTGTATTGAGAACCATGCCCCCACATATGCATCTGTACAGTTAATTAATTTCATGCATGTGCAGGAAGAAGGAAAAACAAAAAAACTAATGTTAGAGCCAAAAGATGTACACATATATATATATATATATATGTATATATAATTCCATACAAATAAGAAACCTAATTATATGCACCTAGAACTTTTGATGCCTTATAACTTCTGCAAGTTAAAGCTATACATTTCAAACATCGATGTATATAGTATATATGAATAATACTTTTCTCTTTCTCTTCAAATAGAATTTCTTAGATTCATAACAATTACAGTTGATATATGTGTTTCTATTTTCGTTGTATTTTAACGAGTTATGTGTAATTTAAAAAAAAAGGGGCAGAAAATTGGCAATCTTCTTGCACTGTGAAATGAATATCGTAACTTTTGTACCCGTCACTAGGCGGAGTGAACGAAGCTAGAATTATCATTGGCCAAGAAAATTCATCGTTTTTGAGGTAGGTGTGTTTTCAGGCGCAGGAAACAAGTTTGATATAGGGACAGAAAACTATTAAAAACTATGTCAAACAGGTACCTTTCACACATTTTCTTAGCCTAGAAGAAATAATCCACATTTATATTCCCCACTAAGATGAAAGTTTAGTTTCAAAAGTCCTTAGGAGATTCAAATGTCAATAACATACTAACACTTAACGAATAAAAAAAATATGTAAATCATAAATTAATTCCATATAGACTATTGCAAAGTTTCTTAAATTTTCAACATGGGACATTATTCACATTCTCACATGCTTAGCTAAATTTTTAGTTGAACACGTGAACAAGTTTAATTAACAGGGTGACTTGAAGCACATATATGTAGTTATGGACTTGACATGAGCTTACCGACTCTAATACCATGAAGAACTTCTCATATATGGGATCAGCTACTTTCACCGATTCTAAATAAGAGGTCTGAGTTTGAATTTCGTTGATGACAGGTTTGATATCAATTTATTTCCCGACCGTAGTTAACATATAATTGTATCAGGAAAAAAAAAAAGCATGGCATTAAATCTCCAAAAATGTAAAATGCACTACAGTATTATTTAGTTCTTAATTCAACTGATTATGCAAGTAGTAGTATACATCCAGCTGCCATCAATTGATAAATATCATGATCTCTCCATCACCCTCATCATAGCTTCATCTTTTCTGTTAGTGAAGCTGTCATGCTAGTTAACAAGCCTTGGTACTGGAAGTACTACTACTTCTTGGTGTGTGTGTGTGTGTGTGTGTGTGTATGTGTGTGTAATTAAATTGCTTCTGCAGCAGTTTAAAATCCTGTCCGCAGGGAAGCTTTTTCAGATCAGAAGGAACATGAACATCCAAATATTAATGGTAAGAGTACACAACTAAAAATGAAAGACACATGCATACAACACATAGTTTATTAAGCCACAATTAATTAAACACGCACAGGCGACCTCACTGAAACTAATTAACCTTCAATGGTAACTGGGGAAACTAATTAACCTTGATCCAGATATGGAAATAAGAAATGGCAAGGAAATAAGAGAATTTGTAAAGGGATTTCTTTCTCCATATGTATATAAAGAAATACCTGCAAGTTATTGTATCTGTTGAAAGTTTTGGAGCAAATAGAACATGAGAACTGAGTTGGGCCACTAAGAATCTGAGCAGGGGTGGGAATCCAGTAATGACCGCCCTTGTTTAGTCTGTCCACGGCCACAATAGGGTTACCTGATGAAACCACATGACTAATAGTACTACTGATCGCTCCTTCCGTAATATGATCTTGATCTGCAAACTGAGATTGCACATTACCAGAATTAGAAGAACTTGGGAGGCCTATGTGTAGGGCTACAGTCAAGTTCTCGTCGTCATTGTCGCCATCACCATCATCATGAACAGCATCATATTTGTTCATGGTTTCCTCTTCCCTTGGAGTAATCGGACTGCCGCTTGAGGGCTCATGACCACGTTCCTCTTCTAGGACCCCTCTAGGGCTTAATAAGTTGTTTAGTAGAGGAAGAGCTTCTTTGAGAGGAGGTGAGGAAACATTAATATGGTCATTAATGGATGAGGGCATCTGGCTTTGACTATTAGAGGATTTGTAGTCAATGAATAAATTATGTGAAGCGTAGGAGTGTGGAGGATTGGATATATTCAAATTAAAGGGGGTTCCTCTGGAGGAGTTGGCAAAAGAAGTAGCAGTAGAGAGCAATGAAGGGCAATGGTGAGGGCGGAGAGGCATAAAGTTGATCCATCCATTATTGTAGAGATTGGAGGAGTTATAGGGGTCTGCCATGGTAGAAGAGTATTCTCAGTCTCAGTGAAGGACAGTACTGTAGGAAGACACAGTTTTGGCTGACGGTGTGGCACTTTGGCCAGAATGAGATTGGTATATATATAATGAGAGAGAGAGAGAGAGAGAGAGAGAGAGAGAGTATGATCCTGCAGGTAAAAGAAATAAACTGAAGCTGTGGAAAGTCAAGAAATTTTTACCCCCCTGGGTGGCAATTAAAAAAACAGAAATTGACAAGATGGGGAGATAAAGTCAGGTAGCAGACCTGCAGCATGTCTCCATAGAGAGAGAGAGAGAGAGAGAGAGAGAGAAGAGAAGAGAGACGGGAATTTCGCTAGGTTATTTTTGGTCTTAACATTTTCACTTTTTATATCATGCTTCAAGCAATCAAGTCGTTTCTTGATGAGGTTCTGAGTCCATCCTTGCATTTGCTGACTTTTTATATCTTGCTTCAAGCAATCAAGTCATTTCTTGATGAGGGTCTGAGTCCATCCAGCATTTGCTTGGATGGGCGTGAACAATGTTTCATATACATGCAGTACCGCTCCCTCTTTCTTGCTTTGATGGTCAACAAACTCGTGAAAGCAGGTGTGACGTTGGGGTTTGAAATTTTTGAGGTGTAGTCTTCAAGTTTTTAGGTGCTCTTGGAAGGAAGTCAAGTTCCAACTCTAAATCGGAGTAAGATTCTCTCCCCTTTTGATCCTCTCTTTTCTCTTTCTTTTTCTCTCTTATTTTTTTTTGTCTTTCTCTCCCTATAAAACAAATCAATACAAGATGTTAACACGGTTTAATCATAACCGTTTAAATAGGAGGAGATAGAAGATGAGAGAAATTTGAAGGGGGAGAGAATCTTACTCCCTCTAAAACGATAAATACTTCACATCTTTATAAGCCCTTTTACTGTTCGGGATATTCAAGCCAAACACATATAGCATGTGTGATCAACTTACTATGATACTATGAAGAAAATTGAAGTTCCATCTAAAAATAATTGATTATAGGGTGAAGTGTTAATTTAGTCCCTAAATTATCACCTCAGTGAAAATTAGGTCCCTGAATTATTATTTTTTCAATAAAATAAGTCCTTAAATTCATTAAAAAATTGTTAATTTCATCCTTACTGTTATATTCAAAGTTATTTTATCAAACTTTTCGTCAACCACGAGCTGGTGGCCTAGTGGTAAATGGCAGATTGCGAGGCTTTCTTCAAATTAAAAAATGGAAGGTCTTGGGTTCAAAACCTGTTGCTGGTGTGGAAGCCAGACTTGTGGCCAGAGAGAGGCTGAAATGACTCTGTGAGTCTTTCCGGCCCCTAGAATGGGTGGATAACCGTGACTTAAATTGACAAAAAATTGAATATAGTAGCTTCAAATCTAATATTAGGTATGTAATTTGTTGAATTTTTTTTTTAGAAACCTACTTTTCATTCAAGTGATAATTCAGGAACTAAATCGACAATTCACCGTTGATGTGTACCTAAACACGAGTTGGTGCACTCATGTTATAATAAAAGTGGAGCGATATTTTAAAAAAAAAAATATATATATATATATATATATATTCTCTATTATATTATGATATGTGATGTACTTACCCATGTTCGGAATATATAAAAAATTTCTAAAGAGAGAGAGTAGCTAGCTCTTTAATTAATACTCAAAGGACAAGTAACGCTGCAGGGGACAATTTGAATTGTGACATGTTTGCTTTGACTAATACTGGAACAAGCAAACTCATTGCATATGTTTTTCGATAGATGTAGTGCGTACTTGGTATGAATCACTTGTCATTTCATGATAGAAAGGTTCACATGGTATAGGCATCATGGCCTCTAACTTTGTAACTGAAATTTAAGTGGTGTGTAATTTCATGTTTTTATATTTCAAAATTTAAAGGTGCGTTTGGATCAGGATTTTGAAATTCCATAAAACTTAATTGACTTAAATTTGTTAAGAATGCACCACAAATTTATGTGGAGGGACTTTTAAAATGATCAGATGCTATACATTTGAGAGTAGCTTTGTAGTAGCCTTTTAATATTTGAGATGAAGACCTTGTCTTGGAGATCTATGATTTTATATTGACTAAATTTTAACTAAAATGACTAGAGATAGCTGTTTTTAGCAAACTAGCAAATTTTTATTCTATGTGGCTGCTTCCTACTATCTTCTAACCATCTCCATCTTCTACCTAGTTATGATCGCGTTTTCGCTTTGCCAAGAAAAACTTCCTTGGTGTTGATCACTTTCTCACTCTATTGAAGAGTCTTTTATAACGGTTATAACTTAATAGTCAACAAATCTTGGAGTAGCGCTTGTTATTTAGATCTAAAATATTTTTGTTTTTATGATTAGGCACTTAGCAAAGGATTATGAGGAGGAAGCTTTGGCATATATTAGAGGCGACTCGTATATAGTGGAGCTTCTTTGTGGACCATTGTAAAATCAACAAAGTTTGGTTTATGTTAAAGGTGACTCGTAGATAATGGAGCTTCTTTGTGGACCATTGCAAGATCAACAAAGGGTGGTGCGGTCTTTTCTTTGTGATGTTTTTACAATTAATTCCCGATTGGTTGAATATGAGTCTTATGTAGAGGACTTGTATATTTCTGTTGCATCTTTGATCACGAGATTGCAAGAAATCCTATGTAGTTTTATGGTAAAATTTGCTAAGAAACTCACATTTGGCATGTATGTCTTATATAATTTCTTGGTCATTTTTAATAAAGTTACTTTTTATCTAAAAACACAACCATCAGTTATTAGTGTTTATCCAATCAACTTTTTTTCGCCTAATTGAGTTACTTTTCATTTGACATTTTTCTAAATTTTAGCTAGAGCCAGTTAGCAGATTCGAGATGTTCTGATAAGAGAATGAATTGCCAAAGCAACTAAGAACTAAACCCCAAACCATCATTAAGAGTTAAAAAATACTCTAATGTTCTTCACTTACAAGTATTTGTTTGACCAGAGTCCATGCTCATAGTTTAATGATTCCAAGACTACACGAGTCCATGTGTGTTTGGAAATTGAGCTTCAGCCTTTTAAGTTCCCATGTCCATCACTTTCGAAGGATGAAAGCTATAGGAGACCACATTTTCTTTAGATTATTTTTACATCGTATTTTTGTAAATCATATAATATGGTAATTGATAATTGAATTATTTTTTTAAATAATTAAAATGAAATTCACTTATCAAGCATCACATCATGTAATTTATAAAATATGTCTAAATTGATGATCTTCATGATATTTAAAAATAATAATAATAATAAAAAATAAAATAAAAAATAAAAACCTATCCCTCCCAAGTTGGAACTCCCACAAAGACCAAATCAAACCACATTTGGCTCGCTTCCTAATTGTTTATTAATTTGACTTGTACAACTTTTACCTGAAAAAAGAAATTTACTATCGTCCTGGTCTGTCAACAAATAAAATAAAGAGAGGCTTCCCCCCTGCTTTTCATGCACACATTAACATTATGTTTGGGTGAAGAAATTTAAGATTACTAAGGAATTTAAAAATGACGGAAATTGAAATGAAGAGATTTTATTTTCTAGAATTTGTAAATTTTCTTGTTTGGTTAACCTAAAAGAACAATGGAATTGAATGCAGAATTTGTTATTTTTAAACTCTCAATCATAGAAATTGAGAAATGACACCTATTTACATAGAATTTGAACTTGGGATTTGGAGGTTCCAAATTCCAAGTTTTTTTTCCATACGGAAATTCTAAATTTCTATGCTTATGAATCCAAACAAGAGAATTGGTGCCTGTTAATTTATAAATTCTGACTTTTACCAAAATTCCATGTTTATTTCCCTCATCCAAACATAGTGTGAGTATATTGTAATTAACGGTTAAAAAACTCAAAATATCTTATACTTTAAAATACTACAGAATTTTCGTTGTCGTTCAATCTTTAGGTAAAAACTTGAAAAAAAAAATTCTTTTCTCTTAATTTGTTTTGTAGTTTCTCAAATAGATGCAGACATATTTGTACTCCGAGATCAGATTTCATTACCTCATCCTTCAATTCCAAACTTCTTTCCACTAATCAGTTGGCGTAGAAAAAGGAACTTCTCATCAACTGTGGAGCCTATCTACCATGCATGTACAATCTTAAGAATTATTAGATGGAGTAATGAAGCTTAATTAACTAAAAAAGGCCAACCGATGTACAAAATTTGCAATCTACATTAATCAACTACAACAATGTATTGAGTATATTTCATTGTCTAGCACATAGACCTGTATAATGAAACCGCGGGATATTATGAAACCCTAGCCCCCGCATTTAATTTACCAAAAATAAACAAAAATAAATTCCAATGTATTTAGTTTCACCAGTCTCTTTATAAATATGAAAGTGATATATATGGTGGACGAACATGCAGATCGATCGTTGAATAATGTGACTCTCCTGCATTTGATGATGAACAGTATACCAAACACCCAAGGGTGACGGGTGAGGAGGACGTGCATTAGATGCTAACTTGACATGATTGGAAGAGTCACTGTTCGTGTACAAGTATGATGTTCATGTAGGGCATTCATACATATCACTCAAACACTTTCTATATTTTAATATCTGTGGTAATCTATTAGTTGTAAACATTACTCATTTAACCAGACACCAGTAGATATCAGAATTCTTACCATAAAATGATCTTTATTTATTGATCTTTTGTTTTGTTTTGTTTTGTTCGTAGAGATGATCTTTGAAGTTTAAACGATGATTAAGAAATTGAAAAATTCCAATATTTTTTTATTAAATAGTGAAAGAGGAGTCACTTAGTACTACGGTCTAGTAATATTCCACTTCACTTGTAAGTGAGAAGTCTTAGATTTGATTCTTGCCAAAGGCGAATTTGAACCACATTATTGCTAGCCCATTTTGAGACTTAGCCCACTCCCTCACCCTTTTAGTATAAATAATATCGATTGTTAAAATTAAAAAAAAATAGTGGGAGAGGAATTAGGACATAAGTGGGATAGTGGGAACACCAACACTAAAGAAATCTTACAATAGAACAATT